CACACACACACACATACAGACACACACACAAATTCTAATATCAGGAATGAAAAAGAGGACATCACCACAGGTATTACAAACATTATAAACCTAGCAAAAGGATAGTATGAGCAACTTGGACAGTAAATTTGAAATTTAAATGAAATGCAATTTATCAAAACTGATACTAAATTAAATTTGTTTAATCCATAATTTAAAATTTTCTTACAAAGAAAATTCTAGGTTCAGATGGTTTCATTGACAAATTCTTCTAAACAGTTGAAGAAATATCACCAACTGTAAATAATCTGTCCAAAGAATCGAAAACGATGGAGCCTTTCCCAGCTTATTTGTAAGGCCAACATAACATTGACCCCCAACCTGTCAAGAACATTAGAAGATATTAGGAAAGCTACCAAACCTGCCTTGGTATCCCCCACCCACAGAACAGAAAATAACAACATTTATCTCCTCTGGCTGTTGAGAAGACTGAATCAGTTAATATGTGTAAAAAAAAAATTGTGTAGTAAGCACTCAGTAATTTTTAGCTGTTTTTGCAGAGCAGCCACAGAACTCTAAAATATGAGCGTGCACTGTCCTGTTCTCTTTAATGCATAGAGCACCAGGACAGAGTCTGCCTCTGGTGTTTCTGAAGAGCACTCAGGCTTGGGGTTCCTTGTGTTTTATAGATGGGAATATGGGACTTGCCCAAAGAGTGGCTGCAGGATGGGGCATAGCCCGATTGTGAACTTGAGTCTGACGCCAGGGCCCCTGGAAGGCAGCTCTGACATGAGAAGCATCTATGCCTGTGGATCCCTGATAACACCCCCCCCACACACCTCATATGTGGGAAGTGTGGCCTCAGGGAACTTCCGGTCCCATTCACAGCCTCAGTTTCCTCCCAGACAAAATGAGACCTGGCTCTCTGTTTCCTCTGTCCCGGGTGGAAGGGTGTAGAAAGACTTCCTGGGCTCTGACCTGCGAGTGACAGATCACTGGGTGTAACCCATAGTGACAGGGCCCCTTCAGTCCCGGAGCTGCAGGCTTGAGACCAGCCATGCCTGACACCAGGGGATGTCTTCCTGGACATTCCAGATCAGATAAAGCCGCGTCCCAGTATATTCAATACTGAATATTGACAGCAGTAAGGAACTGAACAGGCCCAAGTATTTATCAAGAGGGGGGCAGTTAAACCCATCTGTAGTACCCGGACCACAGCCTTATTCAGACCTTTAAAAGCTTAGGCCCTGCTAGAATCACTTGAGGTCTACCTGTCCCTTGAGGCTGGAGGAGGCTGGCCTGACATGCCCAGCTCAATCCCAGCCCCCAAGTCCCCCTAGGGTACTTGGACATTCTTCCAATTACCTTGGCCCTGATTTTCTGCCTCTTAGAATTCTTGCTCTCCACTCTTATCTTGCATCTGACCCTTCTGTCTGCTCTGGATTGACCCAGTGTAGAACTTGGTCCCCGGCTGGTGAGGAGCCTTCTGAGTGCTCACAGCCCAAATTGACTTGAGCATGAGGAGGTCTGTGGAATTGTGTGACTGAAACGTCCAGGAGAAGTGCCCTGGTTTCAGGCATGGCTGGATCCAGGAGTCTCCCTTTCCATCTGGGGTCTGTCTGTGCTCCTTCCTGATGGCTTTGCTCTCAGGCAACTTGTCCCCAAGTGATTGCAGACTAATGCCTCTGGCTTCCTGTCTACCCTCCCCGCCCCCCACACACACATAATTCAGCCTTTCCCAGTGGAAAAAAGCCACTCTTTCTAGGTAGCTCCTGGGGGTGCCCTGCGACCAGCAGCTTCTTTACCCATCACTGAACCAGCTGTGGCTGGAAGCGGGATAGGTGCCCCATTGTCAGGCCTGGTCACAAACCTGGCCCTGGAGGGGGTACAGGGGCCCTTCAGTGGCCCCATCAGCATGGATGAGGGCGGGGCTACCGTGGGAGGTGACAGGAGAAGGGTTCTATCCTGGCTTTCTGTAGGTAGAGACCTGCTCAAGGCTATTGTATGGCTCCCAATTTGGGGAGCAGAAGGTCTATAACTCAGTGATGCCAGGTTTGTAAAGTGAGTGTCAATACCTACCTCAGATGTGGTCATGGGTCCCTGCCTGGTCCCCCTACGGCGATTCAGGAGGACAGACACACACAGGATGGTGTCCCCTACCCCAGAGCAAATGCTCGGGCCCCCAGAACACCCTGTCTACACCACTGCTG